GTATCAGTCTTGTTGGTTGCAGTTTGTTTTCCTTTTTCTTTGCTTGTTGGTTGTTGTTGATCATTGGTATTGTTGTAAATATCATTTTCTTGTAATAGGTTGGTGTGTTGATATAATAGTTGCTGGTATTGTTAGATTGTTGTCCAAATTGGGATTGTTGTTTATGTTGTTGTTGTTGGTCATCAATATCCATATCATTATTGGAGGTTATGCTAGTATCTTCTGATGAGGTGAGAGGGCCAAGTGTAGGGTTAAGGGGGTTGGAAAGCTGTTGTTTAGATGTATGTTTAGATGATTGTTGAGGTTCTTGTAAACATTCTTTATGATAGGCTTGACTGTTGAGAAAGAGAGTATAGTCTGGAAGTTGGTGATTGCTATTAACCGATTTGCAGTTAATTGGTATGGTACCCAGCACTTTTGGCAAGTATAAGTATGAGAGGAGGATGAGTGTAAGACTTGGATAGTTGATGAAGTTGAAGCTAGAGCTTGAGTAATTTTTTTGGATATAGCTTGGTTAGTATTTTTCTTTTTTTGGTGTTTAGACATAGTAGGAGTCATAAAGATAGAGATATGGTGAGTATCAGTTTCTGAGACAAAGTGTAAATGATAATTGTGGCAAAGATATTGAATTGTTGCGGTTGTTACTGGTGCTTTGAGGCAATGGGTAGCTTTGAGGGTTCTGATATTTGTTGTAATACAAGACTTTGGCTCGAATCCATTAGGAATAACTTTGATATCTTCAAGTTTATCTTCGTGGATAGCAATACCCCAGCAATTTGCATAGCTTTTAAAATAAGCATCGAGGTCAATGATGTCAGGGTTTTGGGCAATAGAAGTAGGCATCTTGTTGTTAGATTTTGCTTAAAGGTGCAGAATAGATTGACTTAGTAAATTTTTTAGATATATTAGCTAGAAAACTTGTAATATAGTAGTAATAGCAGAGTGCTATGACAAGGGTGGATATAGGCAGGGGTTGTTGTGTTACAATTGTGGCTAGTGTGGCCTGTGTAACCTCATGTAATCTTGTGTAATCTAAATTAGTATTGAATGATATGAGAGTGTAGCTAGTGTGGCTAGTGTGGCTGGCGTAACAGGGAAGTTACATGTAGTACTAAATAGTGTATTGGAGTACAGAGGTTGTATAAAAATAGTAGTAGATAATAAATGATAAAAATAGCTTTGTATTATTAATTAAATTATTATTTTGTTGATACAATAGAAAATTTAATTAAATCTAGATTTGGAGGTGATTTACTGTTACACAAAAAACAGGTTGAAAGGAAAAAAAGTTGGGGTAAAAACAAAGAATTTTTTAATAATTTTTATAGAGGAGTGAAAAGAGTTTTCTGTTGATAACTTGGTCAATATTGAGTCAAAATCTTTTGTTGAGGGCTTGTTTTGACTGGGTAGGTGAGCTTAACAACTTATCTTAAAGCTGTCAGATAAGTTGTAAAGGTGGTTTTAGAGAAATAATTAAAAGTTGGAGTTTTAAAACCAAAAGTTGTTTTTGTAGCGTTTTGCTACGAGTTTACAAGATAAAGACTTGAAACTTTTAAATTATATGTAAAATTTTGAGCTGAACAAATTTATTTATGCTGCCAAAGGCAGTTATCTTAATAAAATAATGTGTTATTAGCAATTTTTGACTGGCGAATTTTTAGTTAAATTTTGTATAAATGATTGACAGAAAGAGTTTTTTTATAAGCCGTATTAATTAATCCTATCTTTATATTCTAAGTAATTTAGATTTATATATAAAATTTTCAGAGTTAATCAAATTACTGATCAATCAACAATTCATTGGTCAAACTGGTCTGATCAAATTGTTCAAATGGTTTAGTCAAATTGGTCAAATGGTCTAGTCTATTAAATAAATAAATTTAGTACACAAAATAAATATATGTATAAATATATATATATATACTATATATTTAAAATTCTTTGACCAATTTGACCAATACTAAACTCTTTGACCAACTGGTCAAACTAGTCAAACTGGTCTGATCAAGCTTGATCACTAACCAGTTTGTACCAACCCTGAAAATTTTATATACAAATTATTGAACTTAAATATATTTATAAACTTAAACTAAACTTAAACTGAACCAAAAATTTAAGTTTAGATTCAGTTCAGGCTCAGGTTTAAAGATTTACAAAATTTAAAGTTCAGTTCAGGCTCAATTGAACCTGAATCTGAATTTAAATTGAACTAAACTAAACTTAGGAACACTAGATCTAAATTGAACTAAACTGAACTTAGAAACACTAGATCTAAATTAAGACCCCCAAATTTTTAGAATCAGCATCCCAACATTTATTATTTTTACATACTCTTTTTACATTCGTCAATATGCTAATTTTTAAATCATTTAAAATTTATTGATTGACAAATTGGCACAAATAACATGTAAATACCTCTTTTTCATCCAAAAAATATATGACCCATGCATATCGCAGGTTTAATTTAATCAAGATGGGAATTGCGTACAAAATATTAAATCAATAAACAATTAGCCCATAAATTCTGAATTAACCCACTTTTTTTTTTTTTTTTTTTTTTAAGAATCTTAGGTTAAGACCGCTTTTACTAATGCGTTAACCTTACAGATACTACAATTGTGAAAGTTGGCAAGAATATATAATTATATATTAAAAAATCTATAAGTTAATCTGCCGGATAAGATCTTGGAACGCTATTATTAAACCTTATAAAAGATTTCTACCTTCAACCAATTGAAGTGCCATCAATTATTCATTGTTTTCGAACCTATTGAATGTTTACGGTTGCATAAATGAATTCAATGCGTTCAATGAATCATAATGTTTAGCCAAAAAAAACCTTCAATAAAACAAAAGTTTAAGAGTTTAACGATGCTAAATTATTTAAATGTAATTAATATATGATACGTACTATATACTTTAGTAAATGCCGGTATATTAAAAGCTTATAATTAATAAATCGATCAAATTAATGCTTATACGTATCATGTTCGGATCCGGTTTATAGAATTTATTATGGTTTTTCAATATATGCAGTGTAATTATTTATAAATAAAATGTTCTTAAGCTTTTGCCAGGGTTCGGTATATATATGTTCGGTTTAAGGAGAGTCTATTGTAATTTGATTAATTTTACATGTCTGATAAATTTTCATCAGGTTCACGTAATATGGCTCTCAGTACCTTAATATCCTTCAAAATTTGTTTTACTAATGAACTACTTTCTTCTTGAATTTTAATCGATTTTATCAATGAATTTGAAATTTCGTTGTCAGTTTCTTGATATTTATCGATTAAAGAGTTAATTGTTGAATTTTCTTCCAATTGAGATTCATCTATCTCTAAAGTTGGTGATAGGGTTAATTCCGTAACACCAAAATAACTCTCCCATGTTGTTTTCATTTCAAAAGGAGTTTTTTGATGATATTCATGGACTGCTGCTGAAATTCGTCGATGAAGATCTCTCATTGTTTTCGCACGATATGATGGATCTTTCATGAGTTCCCGACTGGCGAAAGGAGGTCGTTGTGGTCGAACAGGAGGGTTGGGTTTAAAAAATTTGGAAAAATTCTCATTCCACCAATTTCTTACGTTACCTGGTATTGTTGAACAGTAGTCTCGTATTTTCGGACAAAACACGATAACAACGAATGTAATTGTCGTAAGACATAAGGTTATTCTATCAAGAATAAATAAATAAATTTATAACGATTATAAAAAAAAAATTCTATATAGTTTTTAGGGTGTGTTCGAATAGCTAACCTTAAAGGACGAGACATCTTTTTTGAATGATGTGATATGAATCTTACAAGCGGCTTTATAAATAAAAATAATTTTACTACCTGCATCTGCATAACTGGTTTCGTATACGTACTAATCCAATTTTTTGGAATTTCCGGATTTTTTTTGCACCTCCACAATCGAAAGAAAATGAAGCCGATGTAAGCAAAAGAAGTAATTCTATATTTTGATATGTATAAACACTACTTTCTCATCATTCTGAGAAATATTTTGGTTGTATATATTGATTTAATTAACCATCTTAAAAAAAACAAACTAGAAAATATGGTATTATGATTTTTGACTCATCCTTTGATTCATGGTTAAATTTGATATAAATAGTAACATGTGTGATCATTTGGAAGATTAAATATCTATCTTAATCTATCTTAGTAATTTCATACCTGATACTTTCCGATTGGATTTCCATAAAATATGTATAACATATATTGTAAATGCTTTGAGTTTCGGCCCTTAAATTCTATCCTCAATTTAGAATATATATATCGGGATAAAGAATAGGACAATAAAAGATATGATTGTAAATATATTTCTTATTATTGACTTGACTTTATTGGCGGATAAATAATGATCCCCTTTAAAGGCTAAAAAAGTGGAGTACGTATCAATAATAATATAATAATATAATGCTGATTATATCCTTTTTTAGCATTTAATAATGAAATGAAAGTGATTAATTGATTATCATTTTGTCATTTTGATACGTATTATGAATTAATAAATATATAGTACTACATGTTATTTTGAAATTACCCCTTTTTAAAGCAACAAGCATCATACAGAGTCGGTGCTTTTTGTATACCGATACGTAGCATGAAGTTCAGGAGGGATGTTTTCGTTGCACAAAGGTTGCGTCAATATCACATGTTGACGAATTTCGAATAAAAGATGTAGGGAATAGAATTAAATTTTAAAGCAAATCTTATTAGGGGAATCGTTGATTAAAACGTGTCAATACGCACGTCCATATCGATATTTGAAATCTTTTTATTCCATAACAATAAATATAGATCTTAAAATAGTATTTCAAGCCACAAGGTTTAGTCGGCTGGCTAAGCCTGCTGAATAAAATATGTATTTGCTACGTAAGCAGTTGTCTTACTTTTACGGAATAGATATTAACTTCGGCAATCATTTTATTGACAATTTACAATATATTCAATATATTGATATGCTGAAATAGTCGGTAAAATGATGAAAAAAAAATTCGGTTACCGGTTAAATAAAGATTTTTATATAAAAGATTGAATATTAGTTACAAATTAAAAATAATCTTAATGTTAGATTTGAACGATTCTTTACCATTACTATGTACTTTAAGTCAAAATACTAACCCACGATAAATATTGTATGTTGATTTTTATTGGGAAAGTATTTTGACTTAAAGTACATAATGGTAAGTCAAATTTAGGATTAAGCTTATTTTTATTTTTTACTTTTTTTCTTAATTAATACTCAACCTTTTTATATAAAGAATATTTAAGTATTTATCATATTACAACTAAATTACAAATAAGAAAGGTTTTTTTTTTATACGTACGTACTTGGGTATATTTTGTATTCACAATATCGCTATAATTTTATATGGCCTCATTTATATCGATTTATAAAAAAAAATTCGTATTTTCATATGAAAAAAAAAGAGAAAATCTGGAATATACAATGAAATTGATGTTGTAAAGGATGAAAAACAAGATGAAAACAAGGCGTTCACTTATTACGTATCAGTCCGATTTTGGAAACATTGATGCATTTTCGTATGAAAGAAATTTACAAGTCAATTGTTAGTTTAGAAAGGAAAGAAACCAAAATTTTTAAATATACATATGGAATTCTAATATTAATGAATCTTTGAAAAAAAATATCGAAAGAGAAATAAAATGTCAATTATTTTGGATTCCTTATTCTGTACCGGAAAAATTGGGTCTGGTGGATTGCTACCGTGTACTATACTAAATGGTCAATAAAACTACTTACAATTCTAATTTGATTTCTATGGCGTTAAAATAATTCATTTAATCTTTGGGTGTCGCAAAAGGAAGCCTCATTCGGACTTTTAAATAACATTCCGATATCTATCATCT